ACACACACACACACACACACACACACACACACACACACATGCTTGCACACACACAACCAGCCAGACAATTGGGCCAGTGTGTCTGGGGCTGCGGAGCCCAGTGAATTAGGAGTTTGATAAGGGTTTTCTCTTTCTCTCGCTTGCTGGCCTTGGACAATCTCCCCCCAGTTTTCCTCGACGCCACCCCCAGCGCTGCCAACCCTCCTCCCCCCGCCTCCCTTCTCTTCCCTGTGCCCAGACTCTTGTTCGGGGCCTTGAAACAGTGAGCTGTCTTTGTTTGAAATACAGGTGAACGGCAATCATGTGATTAACACACACACACATAAAAAGCTTTTTAACAGCGCCCGCCCGGCCTCAGAACTGCCCGGAGAGAAGCCGCCTTGGATGGACAGAGGGACGAGCATCCAGCCAGTCGTGTCCAGGCTGCCCTGCAGCGGTCTCCAACGTCCGCTGCTGTCTGCCTGCTGCCCGCCTGCCCGGCATCTCTCTCCCGGTGGGTCTCTGCTCATCCTTCCACCCTTTAGTCCCTCCTCTTGAAAGGAAGGCCCTCCCTGCTGTGTGTCTGTGACTGAGCTTGAGACCCCTGGCATAGGGAGGGGTGCTGTCGGGGGGGAAGCGGGCCAAGGGTTAGAAAGCTGGGCATGGGGTCTCCCAGCTGCTCCCATCTCTAGCCCCTGCCCTCCACCCTCTTTGGCCCAGCAGCCAGGAAGGGGTGTGTGTGGATCTATAGGGAGCCACATCTGGTCGTGCTCCCTCTCTGTCTCTCTTCCTTATCCCTACACACAGGTTCTCCTGGGTAGTGCTTGGACTCTGCCTACCTAGCTACTGAGAGGTGCTTCTGAGGTGGGTGGACCTCCAGGCTGCAGGGAAGGGACTGTGTATTGGTTGAGGGACTCCCTCTGTGAATACACCCATGCCCACCAGGCTGGCAACCAGGTTCCCATTCTAGGCCTTAGGAACTAAATTTTCTCCAACAGGGGAAGGTGGAGGCCCCCATTCACCCTACATAGTAGGGAGCTGGGAAAGTAGGGAGGGTCCCTCCCTGCTGAGGATCTCAGGCCTTGTCCTGGCACAAATGCCAGGAGAACTAGGGTCACCACCGTCTGTTCTTTTCCCTCCTGAGAGTGCGAGGGGAAAGGTTGCTTTATCCCCCATGTCTGACTCTGTCCCAGGGATACTTGTGACCCCCTTACTCCACCATCAAAGCTGTCCTGAGAGGAGGGCTTCTTTCCTCCATGGGTGAGGGATGGTATGCTGTGTGTTCCCTAGCAGAGGACTGAGGCCTTAGTGTTGTGGGATCTAGGCTTCCTGCCATGGGCAGGGCCCTATCAGGAGCTTCCTGGGGGCCAGCGTGGGTTCCTTTGGACTGGTCCTAGACTTTCTTAGAATATGGCCCTTGGAAGGAAAGGGGACCCAAAATATGTCAGTTGGATTTGAAGCCCACAGATGACACTGCCAGGCAGACTTGCCTCAGCTCACTGGTGACCCTTAACCCCTCCTCCGTGGAGTGCTGGTCCTGTCTGGCAGCAGGCTCCATCCATGGTCTCCAGTTCTGAGCTCAGTCCCCTCATCTGTTACACATCAGATGAATACTACCCCTCCTAGCCTGCCCTCGAGGATACACTGAGAGAGGTTGGGAAACCTGCTGTTTTGTAGTCAGGGTCCTTGAGGAGCGAGAATAGCTCTGGGAAAGTTGAGCCTCTGCCCCAGCCTCAGTTTCCCTGCATGGTCATGAGACTGTCTTCTAGATCCCCTCCTGGGACAGAGAAAAGATGATATGAGGGGACACAGGGAAGGCATTTACTTCCTCTGAGTGCAGAGGTGTAGGCCAGACCTAGGGTCCCTGCTGCAGTTTTGTTTGTTGACCCAAATCTTCAAGGCACCTGAGGGTCTGCATTTTTTCCAGGTTTCCTGGCACCTGCCCAGAGCTGGTCTCGTGCTTGCTACTCTTGGGAATCACTTATGGAGGGCTCACTACACAGCTTCAGTTGGCCTTGAATTCTCCATCCCCCTGCCCTAGCCTCCCAAGTAGCTAGGATTACAGATATGCAACCGCTATACCCAGCACCTGTAGAGTTTTTAAAAGAAATACTGAGGGCCGGGCATGGGGGTGCATGCCTTTAATCCCAGCACTCGGGAAGCAGAGGCAGGCAGATCATCTCTGTGAGTTCAAGGCCAGCCTGGTCTACATAGTGAGTTCCAGGGCAGCTAGGGCTACAGGGAGACCCTGTCTCAAAAAGACCAAAAAAAAAAAAAACAATAAAAAAAAAAAAAAAAAAAAAAAAAAAAAAAAAAACCAAAAAAAAAAACCGAAGCCCATTTTCTACTCCAGACTAGTTAATTCTGAATTTCTGGGAATGAGAGGTAGACATTTTTTTCCCCAATATGCTGGCAGGCTTTGCTTTTCTTGAAGGGGTCTCTGGGGCTCCAAACCTGGGAAAGGCCCTGAAAGAACCAAAATCTCTTGGGAGAATGCTAGACAGGGCTTAGACTGTGAACCAGAGAGCTAGAGCCAAACTTGCAGGTTATACTGAGGTGTCCAGGGAGTTTGGGTGCCGGCATGGCAGGGGAGGGGCTATGCTTTGGGGAGGTAGAGGCTGAGGGTCTAGAGTAGACCTGACATCCAGCCATCCCCTGGAGCCTCAGCTTGCTCTGGAGAGTGTCTGGAGGTGAGAGTGTGCCCTTGAACACCTTGTAGGCCACCCCATTTGGCAAGACTGTGTCTTCCTTAGTTTGGATGTAGTGGAAAGTATCCATGTGGCCTTAGAGAAATTTATGCTGTGACCCTCAAGAGTTGGTTTTGCCTGTGTAAAATATTGCCAGTTTCATATATTCACTGTGTATGTCCTCAAGTGTGTATGTGTGAGAGAATGACACCACACACAGGGACTGGAGACATGGCTCAGTGCTTAATAGCATTTACTGCTCTTATAGAGAACCTGAGTTCCAGTTCCATTCCTAACACCCACATCTGGTGGCTCAGAACCACCTGTAACCCCAGCTCCAGGGGCACCTGAGGCAGACACCTGCACATACGCACATGCAGACACACATGTATAATACTTTAAAACAATTTTTTAAAATTAAAAAAGCCAGGCATAGTGAGTTCCAGGTCAGCTGGGGCTACAGGGAGACACTGTCTCAAAAAAAAAAAAAATCTCTAGAATGGCCAGGTGTGGTGACACACGCCTTTAATCCCAGCACTGGGGAGGCAGAGGCAGGCGGATCTCTGTGAGTTCAAGGCCAGCCTGGTCTGCATAGTGAATTCCAGGTCAGCTGGGGCTACAGGGAGACCCTGTCTCAAAAATAAAATAAAATAAAGAACATCACATACACTCACACATATGAACACACACATGTATATCTAGCTTATTAACTATGCAATAAAGTTCACTAGAGAAAATAATGTAGGTATATGTCCAGCACTGCAAGTTGTAGAGGGACTTCCTTCAGTTCCACTATACAAGTGTTTCACTAGAGACTCACCTTCAGATTTTGGGCTTTGTTTGCTTTTTCAGTGCTAAGGAATGGGGAATGGAATGAGGGCTAAGGAACCCCCACATGCTGAGCAAGCACTGTGCTCCTGAGCTGTACCCCAGCTGTTATCCTCAGGAGCTTCCAAAATGCCTTTCAAATCTCAGCATCAGGCCAGGGTCTGTGATAAACTCTTGCCTGTGAGTGGGTCTCCATAATAATAAATATTTTATTATTTTTTGTTTTATGTGTATGAGTGCATTGCCTGCCTGTATGTAAGTGCACCCATGTAGTGCAATGCCAGTGGAGGTCAGAAGAGGGCATCAAATTCCCCTAGAATTGGAGTTACAGGTGGTGGGTAGCTTGCATGTGGATGCTGGACCAGTGCCATCTCTCCAGTCCCAGCATTCCACATTTCTAACAGATATTTCCAGAAAGCTCCCTGAACTATGGAGGACAATGAGCAACCTGCCTAGCTCTGAGGGCATCTGATGTTTGACTCCACTCCCTCAGCAACTCTCTGGCTATATATGACATTCTTTTGTTTTTTTAAATTTTATGTGGATGCATGTATTGCCTGCATGTAGGTAAGTACATCTGTGTCATGCAAGGCCCTCGGAGGACAGAAGAGGCTGTCGGATCCCCTGGGACTGGAGTTACGGACAGTTGTTAGCTGCCATGTGGGTGCTGGGTTCAAACCCGGGTCTTCTGCAAGAACAGCCAGTGTTCTTAACTACTGAGCCATCTCTCCAGCCCTATATATGATATTCTTATTCTCCAAGGAAACTGAGGCACAAAGAGCTTGAGGGATGGGCCTGCACTCACCCAGCTAATTATGAAAGGGTGTGGTTTGGAGCCTGGGGTTTACCTCTCCAGCCCAGCCCCTGAACCACAGTCTGCTGCCACTAGAATCCAAGAGTAGCCAAGGGCCTAGTCTACTTTCTTCTCTCCTGCTGGACTGGGCTGTTGGCTTAGTTGGCCCATCCGGCTGTCTGGTTGCTGGAGGCCAGGTCCCTGCTGGTAGTCCAGCCCAGAGGCCCTCTCTGGTTATGTACTCCTGGGCACTGTTGCTGGAGTTCTTCCCCTCTTTTCTCCAGTGGGAGACCACTTCTTGTGTGTCTCTCCCCACACAGCTTGGTAGTCAGGCTTGCCTCCACTTGCTGTTGCAACCCCCTGAGGGCAGGGCTCCTTGGTTTTGGTTCTCTGGGGCCTAGCATGACCTTACATGGTGGTCCTTAAGTTGTTACCCAAGGAGGAGAAGAGAGGGAGGCTGGAGCATTCAGGCTTGACTTCCTGGAGGCAGAGGGCCTATGCTCTAGGAGGAGGGTGTTTTGGGACCCAACCCAACAGGGACTCTGGCCCCTCCCTGTTTCTGCTATGGTCTGGAGACTGTTCTAGAGGCCCGAATCTTCCTTCTTCCAACCCCACCCTCTCTGGGAACAAGGAAGCTGGGGCCTGTGCCCAGTGCTGCCTGGGGCAGCCTGGCCTCTGCCCTCTTCTTAGAAGCTCTCAGAGAAGGAGACGGCCCGTTCCTGTCATCCAGTTGCCCAAAAGCCCTTCCTGCTTTCTGCCCTGAGCAGCTCCACTGCTTCAGACTCTTGTGACTGTGTCTTCTGTGCAGGGCACAGGGCCAGGCGCTGGGGCAGGAGGGATGGAGCCAGGCCTGGCTTTGGGGCATTCAGGGTCTGATGAGACAGACCAGCCTGGAACTCCAGAACTTGGTATGGCTGAGTCCTCTACAGCTGATAGAGATTGGAGCCAGGATCCCAGAGCCCACAGTTGGGGTTATGTTCCAACATCTGCAGATGCCCTGGCTGCCTTCCTCCCTCTCCCATCCTTAGTTTCCCAATATGTAAAATGGGGGGCAGGCTAGATTACCTCCAGAGCCTTAGTAGCCCATTTATAGCACTTCACAGCAGGAGGTCAGTGCCTGACCCAATTGTCCCATCATTTGAGCTCTTTAGGATATCCCTGGTTCTCTCCTGATCGTCAGGGTCATGGGCAAGTACTTCTTTCTAT